ATGTTGAGGAAATTCCATTCTATTCTGATTTTGCTGAGTGTTCTTTATCAGGAAGGGGCATTGGGGTTTTGACAAATGCCTTTTCTGCAGCAACTGCTAAAACCATATTGTTCTTGTTATTTGCTTTGCTAATATGGTGAATTCCATTGATTGGGGATTTATTGCATTGAACCAACCTTGCATACTTGTTATGAATCCCACTTGGTCATGATGAATTATTTTGGCATATGCTTCTGGATTCTATTGGCTAGGATTTTGTACTGTGTTGGCTATACCCTCTCTGTCTTGTGATGGCTTTTTATGTTCTTGTATCTCTACCTATACTATCAATTCTTTCTTCCATTTTTGCATTTTCTTCCTGTTCGAATTGCTCCTCATCAATATGTTTCTTCTGCATTGCTGCCTCTGGGATATTTACTCTCTTCATAACTCTCATTATTTCTTCCATCATCTGCATCTTCTCCTATGGCTATTCAAATAACTCCATATCAACATATTTCTTCTGGTTCTCTTTATCTGGGGTAGTCATTAGGTCTATTTTTTTTTTAGGAGGAAGGTTATTTTGTTTTTTCATGACGACTGAGGCAGACTGCTGCTTTCTTGACATGATGTGAGTCTTTTCTTAGATGTTAGGTTGTGGTAACTGTATAATGCCCCAGGGTATGGAAATGTTGTATGAAGGACCTGTATATTGGTGGTCACTTCTTGAGGAACATCATCTGAAGCAGGATGACTGTTAACCCTCCAGAAACCACAGCTCCACCTGTTCTCTTCTGCTTGAGCTTAAGAAGTCCCACATTATGTAGCTAGACAGCAGTATTCAAAGTCAAAGTACCTGTGGAATTGGTGCTCCTGGCACAGGATGCTGGGCAGTAACAGGCAACTCTGGTCTCCACGTGGTGGGCTGGGCTGGTCCAGTGCACCAGAATGCTCGCCCTTCAGGTGATCTTATGAACAGACTGGCCATAAAAGGCACATCCTGCCCGTAGTTCCTGTGGACATGGCCTTATTTGGAAATGGGGGATTTGAAGATGTTACCAGGTAACACAAGGTCATGTGTTGTTGAATGCTGTCCAGTCTTAGTGACCCAGTGGGACCAGTAGGGCTGCCTGGTGGGGTTTCCTTGGAGACAGTGTCTATGGGAACAAATCACCGGGCCTTTTCTCCTGAGCGGCAGCCAATGATGTCAGACCACCAGCCTTTCAGTTAACATCTGAGCACTTAACCCTTGCAACATCACGTTTCCTTAACCCCGTGTGACTGGCGCCTTCATAGAAGACAATGATTCACAGAGGTGGACAGAGGGAGGTGGCCTGTGACCCTGGAAACAGAGACAGGAGTGAAGCATCCCCAGGACGAGGATCAGCAAGGGCCACAGGACTTCACCCAGAGCTGACCTTCCTCTCCAAGCTTCACATGAGTCCACACGCCGACACTGGTCTCTGCTTCCCACCTCCAGGGTGGTCACTGTGTGTTCTTGTATTATTTTTACGTGTACCGTCAAATCAGATCTGACTGGTACAGGAGGAGATTGCCCCCTCCTTCTCCAGCAGAGCATCTGGTGGATTTGAACCGCGTACCTCTGGGATTGCAGTGCAGCGTCTTGCCACTAGTACTATCTGTTCTTATAACACAGCCGACACCCGGTCTCTGCTTCCCACCTCCAGGGTGGTCACTGTGTGTTCTTGTAACACGGCGGACACCTGGTCTCTGCTTCCGGCCTCCAGGTGGTCACTGTGTGTTCTTGTAACACAGTGGACACCCGGTCTCTGCTTCCAGCCTCTAGGGTGGTCACTGTGTGTTCTTGCAAACCTCCTGATCTGGTTATACCAGCTGATGATATTAAGACAGAAGGTCGCCCATGGCCTGGCCTGCCCTGGTTCTTGTCATCTAAGGAGGACTTGCAGGTCATAAGGCACAGACGGAAATGACTGGCCCTTTGTCACCCAGCTCCCCTCAGGCTCTGCAAGGTTAAGGTCTCTCCAAGGCCAGCTGTGGGTCACATTGCCAGCTCAGTCAGTTGCATTTAAATGCCCCATGTTGTTGTTGTTATTGATGATGATGATGATGATGTTTATTGCCTTCGAACACAACTCATAGCGACCCTATGAACAACAGGTCTGAAGCCTTTCTATAACTATTGACATTTATCAAAGTTCGTAGAGTTTCCAGACGCATGTTGCTAAGAAAAGTCCTTTGTGTGATGTGTGACAGGGTGTCTTATTCCAAGGTGAACTTGGCAGTCAGGAATCAATAACTTCTTAGGGTAATCCTTCTTCAAGATTTGGGGGAAAGCCTTGAAATTGACCTAGATGCAGTTTCATCTGTCAGCCTGATTGAACTATTGAGTTCAGAGGTCTCCAGGCCCAGAGTAGGGGCTCCTGCTCAGCCTCTCAGTGATCATTCAGATAAAAATTTCTGACTTTGTAAAGTGCTGCAGGGCCACCCGAAAAGAAGACAATACCTTGAGAAGGTGTGTGGGAAGGGTAGATTTTGGGCATGTCTGCCTGCACTCAGGGAGGGCTTCTTGGTGGAGTTGGTTCCTGAGCAACCTTGAGAACGGCTCTCATCGCATGGCTTCTTCTTTGTTCTAGAAACTCACCTGGATGCCTTCTCCACCTGGTCCTTGATAGGGAGCCCCACACCAGTCCACCATCTGGGAGGACTGAGGGTCAGAAGGAGTTAAGACTTTGCCTACTCACAACAATACTGGTGATGATTACATAGTATGATTGGGTACTTGATGTCACTGAATTGTAAACTGACCTATAGTATTTTGTATTTGGGGGCTGCGGTGGGAGAAGGTGCAGACAGAGTGCTCCTTGGAGGCAATGATGATAAAGCTTCGTCTCACATACTCTGGGCATGTTGCTAGGAGAGGCTGTTCATTGGAGAGGGACATCTCGCGTGGGAAGGTGGATGGTAAGCGAAGAAGAGGAAGACCGTCAACCAGGTGGATTGACATAGTGACTGCGGCAAAGGGATCTAGTGTGTCAGAGACTGTGAGGACGGTACAGGATAGGACAGGGTTCAGATCTGTTGTTGACAGGGTCGCTATGAGTTGTACTGCACTTGACAGCACCTAACAACAACAACAACAACAACATCCAGTGGCTCAGTGGACAGAGAAGCTGCAGACTCAGCACAGGTGGTGTGAGCCTACCAGCTGCCCCTCAGGAGATGGATGAAAGGTCTCTTCCTGGGTGATTTTACACCCGCTAAAAATTTGCTAGAGGGTCAGCAGTGAGTCGGTGCAGACACGAAGGTGGTGAGTAAGTGAATGAGTGAATGTGATACGTATCATCCCACAAGTTTTGTTTTGGTTTTTTTTTAGAAAGTCAAACTTACACATCCACTTACTTTTGAGCCTAATCTGAAGTCTTGCGTGTGTGTATATTGCCACTGTCAAAGTTCACACCCCACATAATGCTGGAACGATTTTGAAGTTCTGACTTTTTCCACTACAATATGATTCATGATTTCTAGGAAGACTGTTGTTACTGTCATGTTATTGAATCTTTATTTCTTCCCAAACAGAAGAAGTAGAATTAAATGAAAAATGTCATCCTCTTTTTATAGCATTTACTCATTCATCCACCTGTCCATTTATCTTCTCACCTATCCACATATTCATCCACTTTATCCATCTATCCATCCTTCCATTCATCCAATCAACAATCCATCCATCCGTCCATTCATCATTCATTCAATCAACAATCCATCTGTCCATTTATCCAATCAACAATCCATCCACCCATTCAGTCAACCACCCATCCACCCATTCATTCAAGCGATCAAGCATCCATCCATCCATCCATCCATCCATCCATCCATCCATCAGTTCAATCAACTATCCATCTGTTCCATCAACCATCAATCCATCCATTCGCCTACCCGTCTATCTGTCCATCTACCCGCCCATTTATCCATCCATCCTATCTATACATGTTTCTATCTATTCATCCATTCATCCGTCCAATCAACTTCCCATCCATTCATCCATCCACTCATCCATCCATTTATCCATTCACCCATTCATCACTCATTTGTCCCCTATCTCTATATACATCATGAATCCACTCATCTATCTATCCACCCACTAACCTGTCCATCAAAATCCACTTGCCCATCCATCCAGCCATCCATCCATCCATCACCTCATCTATCCATTCATTCATCCATCCACCATTCCACCCACTCATCCATCCATCCATCCATCCATCCATCCATCCATCCACTCATCCATTCATCACCTCATCCATCCATTCATTCATTGATCAATCCATCACATCATCTACCATTCACCCACCCAACCACCCATCCACCCACTCATTCATCCATCTATCCATCCATCTGCCATCCATCCATCCATCCATCCATCCATCCATCCATCCACTCATCCATTCATCACCTCATCTATCCATTCATCCATCCACCATTCCACCCACTCATTCATCCGTCCATCCATCCATCCATCATCCATCCATCCATCCACTCATCCATTCATCACCTCATCCATCCATTCATTCATTGATCAATCCATCACATCATCTACCATTCACCCACCCACCCATCCACCCACGCATTCATCCATCTATCCATCCGCCATCCATCCATCCATCCATCCACTCATCCATCCATCACCTCATCTATCCATTCATCCAGCCACCATTCTACCCACTCATCCATCCATTCATCCATCCACTCATCCATTCATCACTTCATCCATCCATTCATTCACTCCTCCATCCATAACCTCTTCTATCCATTCACCCACCCATCCACCCACTCATTCATCCATCTATCCAACCATCTGCCATCCACTCATCCGTCCATCCTTCTAACAAGTGAGAGTTCACTTGGACATAAGCATGCCTATTGGGACCCCTTCCCGAGACAACAGACTTAGGCCACAAATGGGATGAGGCACTTTGCTAATAGAGAGATGTCCCTCACATTATGGAAAGCTTCCCACATCGTCTGTTCTGTTCCGTCCTCAGGAATGTGAACCATCTTTCAACAGCAATGTCACAGCATTTGCAATGAAGGCTAAAGTCGTCTACCCCATCAACCAGAAGTTCCGGGTGAGTCCTGAGCGTTTTAGAAATGCCTTCACTCTGTTATGTTCTGGAGATCAAGATGGGAGCAGGGGTTGCACACACCACGTGTGGTCCTATTTGAGAGTCTGGTGGTGGTTTAATAGGGATAATGCTGAAGCTTTGTGATGGAGCCCCACGCGGGGTTATTCTATTTGATGGAAGCATTGTCGGGGAGCAGGGTCTGTCCTTGCATAAGGTACAGAATGACTGTAGTTTCTGTCATTGCCAAGGGCGCCAGGGGACAGTCACACAGCAGGGAATGCCCAGTGCTCTTAACGCTATTATGATTCTGATGTTGGTAATGTCACTGGAATCAGTCCTCAGTCACAGGCCCTGGGGATGCAGGAAGGTGGCCCCTGGCTCTAGTGAAGCCTTCATGTGGCCTGCAGGCTGCTGTTTGTCACGTCTCAATGTCCCAACCTCCCAATAATCCTATGAGGTAGACAATGTGGTTATTGTTACACGTAAGGAAACAGGTCCTGAGAAGCTCAGGACCTGCCCACGGCCACACAGGTGGAAGTGGCAGAGCCAGAGTTAAACACAAACACCTGGAGCCAGGAAGTCACCCCTGTGGACTGGGGTCGGTCTCCCAGAGATGGGTACATGCCATGAGGCTACCAAGGGCCCGAGACTTGCAAACTTATCTGTGGATTGGGAGACTCCTGGTCAAGTAAACTTAAGAGAATGCTTCTCAGCATTCCTGGCTCACATCCACACCCCCGGCACCCCACAATCCCCATTCCTGCCTGAGCCACTGAGAGGGCCCTCAGCTGTTTGCTTTCTGACTTCCTGCCTTGGTCGCTTCACCTGTGGACTGGGAACAGTGGGGCTTCCACCTCACCTGTTATTGTGAGGGTTAAACCAGATGGCCCGGATAAGGGTACACGATACTGTTAGCAGGGTGTACATGTGAGGTTTGGAGGTGGGTTTGATTTATTTTATTATAGTGATTATTATTCATTGGTTATAAATGCCCGGCTTACAAACAACCAGTCCTCAGCCTTTGATGTTGGGTAAACATGCCCTCAATTTGAAATAATCCACCCTAAGCCAGGTGATTCAACTCGCAGCCCCGCTGTGGGACAGAGAAGCGCTGCCCTGTGGAGCTTCCAGGATTATAATCTTCAGAGAGGAGCCCTGAAGGCGTAGTGTGTTAGGCATTGTGCTGATAACCAGAAGGTCAACAGTTCAAATCCCCCAGCTGCTCTATGGGAGGAAGATGGGAAATCTCCTCCTACAAAGATTTACAGCCTCGGGAACTTGCTACAAGGTTCGGACTTGAGTCAGAACCAGCCTGCCAGCAGTGTCTTGGCTTGCATCTTGGTAATCTTTCCAGAAGCCAATTGCCACAGCTCTCTCCCCCAGAGCAACTGGGGGATTCGAACTGACAACCATGACATCAGCAGCCCAGCAGGTAGTGCACAACACCACCAGAGCTCCTAGACAAGAAGCTGCGGCTCAGGAGAGAGCCCTGGGCTGGCCCTGGAGTCCTCACACCAGGATAGTGGGTGACAGCGGGTGACATGACGCAGTGAGGACCTGCAGGCCTGGTCATTAGGACGCTCAGGGTCTGTGTCGAAAGGGACCTTCCAGCCCAGCAAGCGCAGAGGGGCCCAGCCCAGGGCAGGCCAGACAACAAGGTGACGAGAAGGCCCTGGGCCCAGCGGGCGACATGGACAGCGTGTAGGAAGCCAGGGAGGAGCCTTGGTGCAGAGGGTTGAGCATTAGACTGCTAGTCAAAAGGCTGGTGGTTCAAATCCACCAGCAGGAGAAAGAGAAGGCGATGTGCTTTCATACAGATTCAGAGCCAGAGGACGGTCCTCTGTCCCCGAGGGCCGCTGTGACTGGAATGGGCTCAGCAGCCATGGGGTTTTTAGGAGACGGGAGGACAGACTTGGTGGCTCCATCAAGGGGCCCTGAGCCTGTCCTGAGGTCAGGGGGCCACCTCGAGAGTGTAGACAGGTGGGAGACACCATATTGGTGCAGGTGAAGAGATCGCGGGGAGGCAGGGGCCTTGGGGGGTGGACACCCAGGTCCCGGCCAGTGGTGAGGAGGTGGAGGAGGGTAGCAGGCAGCTCGAATGGGAGGCAGGGACCATGGGAGGCAGACCCCCAGGTCCAGGTGGGCGGGTCCCCAGGGTGACAGCTCGGGCACAGGAGCACAGGTGCGCAGGGGCTGCCCTTGTGGGACAGCACTGGACCCACTGTGACCAGGGTCCCTGGTCAGAAGTGCTTGCCTGGGCCCCCCCACACCGCCTCTGCCCAGCAGGCCTCCCTCATGACAATAAACCCTCACATTTGTGCACACACACACACACACACACACACACACACACACACGTCTCCCGGTTAACCAGCTTGACCTCCCACTGCCCAGCCCCTGGCCGACGGCTCCTCCAACCCGTCTCTGCACGAGCACCTGAAGCAGGGGGCGCTGCCAAGCCAGGTGGAGGCCTCGCCGTCCAGCAGCCTGGGCAGCCTGAGCCAGGCCGGCAAGGACGACGGCAGCTCCTGCTCCAGCAGCCACTCGGCCACCAGCGACGACAGGTTCCTCAGTCGCACCTTCCTCCACGTGCACACCTTCCGCCAGCTGCTGACCTGCGAGAGGTGAGGGGGCGGGGTGTTTATGTGGTGGAGGGGTTGGGGTGTGTGGATTCAGGTACACTCTTCCCCTAGGTGCTGACCTGCAAGAGGTGAGGTGGGGGGTGGGGGTGGGGGCTCAGGTACACCTTTGCCCCAGGTGCTGACCTGTGAGAAATGAAGGGGAAGTGTGTGTGTGGGGAGATTCAGGTGCACCCTTCCCCTGGGTGCTGACCTGCGAGAGGTGAGGGAGGTAGTGTGTGTTTGGTGGCGGGGATTCAGGCACACCCTTCCTTCCCATAGGTACTGACCTGCAAGAGGTGGTAGTGGTGGGGAGGTAGGGACCTCTTGTATACCCTTCCCCTAGGTGTTGACCTGCAAGAGGTGAGGAGGGTGGTGTGGGGGGAGGGGAGGAATTCAGGTACACCTGTGACAGGTGAGGGGTGAGGAGGAGGTAGGCATCTCAGGTACACTGTTCCCCTAGGTGCTGACCTATGAGAGGTGAGGGCGTGGCGGAGGGGTTCAGGTACACACTTCCCCTGGGTGCTGGCCTGTGACAGGTGAGGAAGGTGGGAACCTCAGGTACACCCTTCCCCAGGTGCTGATCTGTGAAAGGTGAGGGGGGCATTTGGGGAGGTGAAGGTTCAGGTACACCCTTTCCCCAGGTGCTGACCTGTGACAGGTGAGGGGGTGGGGTATCTCAGTAAAGGTGAGTTTGGGGAAGGCTATCAGATGAAAGAATGGAGTCTTGGAGCAGCTCAGTGCCCCAGCCAGGCCCACAGCGGTCAGCGTCAGGGCTGGTCTCCCGATGCCTCCATCTCTTGCTGGGGGAGAAGGTGGGCAGCCTGCCCTGTAAAGATCTGGCTGTGGAAACCCGTGTGCAGTCCTGAACCATCATGGTCACTCACAGAGGATGTGCGGTCAGCAGGATGAGGCTATGGAGAAGAGTCGGAGACGCAGGGCTCCTGCTCAGTCACTGCTGTGACTTGTCCATCACAAGGCAGTAGCCAGCACTGTTTAAGTGCCTGCTGTATACTGGGCTACACTGATGTGTGGTCCCCAGGGAGCTGCACTGCTAACCAAAGGTAGCACCTCTCTCTCTGATGGTTCAAGTCCCCCAGGGGCAACTCGAGAGAAAGACAGTCACCCTCCTCCCATGTGACCTACAGCCTCAGAAAAACTACCAGAAGGTCAGACTCCACGCAGTGGGCTTGAGTTGAGTGTGTGCCCTAGAATGCTAACTACAAGGTCAACAGTTCAAATACACCAGCTGCTCCTCAGGAGAAACACAGCCTCGGAAACCCAGCGGGGGTGGGGGGTGGGGTCACCAGGAGCTGGAACCAGCTTGGAGGTGCTGGGGTCATGTGGATTATTTCATGAACAGGGACAGGGTCCACCTGTTTGCTGTTGTGTGCATACTGCCCAGGGGATACACGTGATCAGGGCCAGTGAACAAGAAATAGCTATTAACTAATAAGTGAATTTGTCCCTCCTGTCTCTATGAGATCCAAGCCATGGTCTTTCTGATCACTTGCTGTTCATCTGAGAGCTGGACAGTGAATAAGAGTGACAGAAGAACTGAGGCCTTTGAGGGTGGTGCTGGAGAAGAGCACTTAATGTCCATCCCACGGGCGGCCAAAAGAACAAACACATATGTCTTGGAGAGGGTTCAGCCAGAGTGTTTCTTGGAGACAAGGATGGTGAAGCTTCATCTCACATACTTTGGGCACATTGCTAGGGGAGGGTCTTCCTCGGAGAGGGACATCATGCTTGAAAAGGTGGAGGGTCAGTGAAGGAGAGGAAGACTCTTTACGAGATTAATTGACAGTGTCTGCAGCAATGGGCTCATGTGTCAGAGACGAGGAGGACGGCACAGGACAGGGCAGGGCTCGGATCTGTTGTTCACAGGGTCACTGAGTCATTCTCGACTCAGCAGCACCTAACAACAGGTTGAACCCACCCTGCTGTCCCACAGCAGAAAGGCCTGGCAATCTGCTTCTCTTAAAATTATAGCCACACTCTTCGAGCCTGAAACAGAGGTCACCTCCATGGCTTAATTTGCATATGACAGGACCTGTGGTGGTCTAATGGTAAGACAAGGATGTGCAATCTCCTCTCGTGTGATTTACAGCCTCTGAAAACCTGCAGGAGGGTCAGCTATGAGTCAGTTGTTGCTGGATGGCAGTGAGTTTGAATTTTCTTTTTATAAAGTCACACCAGCGACTTGAGCCTTAGACTAAGGGTAAGGGTGGAGCCCTGCTCAAGGGTGTGACTTTAAAATCAATGATGAGGCGATGGGTCTGTGGGCTGCCCTGGGGCCAAATTTACTAATTTTTGAATATTCTTTTTTAAAATTTTTGAATATTCTTTAAAAGACACAACAATCATTTGTCTATTTGCTGTACTGAACAACTTGGAGTTGCTGTGATGCTGAACACTATTCCATAGTCTTGTCAAATACCATAGTGGTTACCCATTATGTACAGTGGTTGGATGAGCTTCCAGATTGATTCATGTTGGGAAGCAGGAGTGGCACCCACTTCCTAAACCAGATGCCTCTGGAAACTCTACAAACTCTCTTATAAATGTACAGAAAGAATGTTAATTATAGAACAGAGTTCAGGTCTTTTGTGCAAAGCTTACTCTGAGTCATATTTGACTCAACAACACTTAACCACTGCTAAATGAGACTAGTGCTGTTCTATCTGGAGGAACACTCTTCCACTTTGCACATCACTCTTTGTCAATGTGCTGTATGAGGTAACCTGGGTCTGCTATGATGCTGAACCTTGTGTCATGGGGATGTCAAACACCAGAATGGTAGACAGTGTTTGGTGGAGTTCCCAGTTGTAAAACAGGTTGGGAAGCAGGAGTGGCATCCACTTCCTAAACTACATGCCTCTGGAAACTGTATGAACTTGGTGAAACAATGATAGCTATGGAAAGGCATCAGGTCTTTTGTTCGTAGAGTCGTTGAGTCTACCTCCACCTGACAGCAATCAGCAACAACAACGTCACAGCAGCGAGGCACTCCCTCCTTAGAACAATCAACCATGGGAGCAAACGGCCCCAGCATTTTCCCAGGAAGAAAGCTCAGAAAGGAGGGGGAATAGAGGTGGGAACCACAGGAAGTTTACATGGTTACACTCTTACAGTGTAACAGTGGTGGGCATTGTAGTCACTGTCATGAAACATTGTGTGTGAATTCGCTCTGTAAACTTTTACCCAAATGGCAACTAAACGTTTTAAGTAATGATAATAAAATTACAGCCAGGGAAGTTCTGTAACACTTGGGGTTGCTGTAAGTTTGAACCAGGTCACAGCAACCAGCAATGGCAATGGGAAGGCAGTGAATCCCTCAAAAAGAACCTCATTGTTGTTGGGTGGGAACCGACTCATAGCTGAGCCTCCAGCGGGTTTGCAGAGGCTGTAAATCACATGGGAGGAGATTGCCCATCCTTCTTTCGCTGGTAGATTTGAACCACCTACCTTTGGATGGACAGCACAACTCCTTACCCCCTAGGCCACCAGAGCTGCCTGAGAGTCTCTCGGTGGAGCAGATGTTTATGTGCTTGGCTACTGACTCGAAGGTTGGAAGTTCAACCCCACCTAGAGGTGCCTCAGAAGAGAGACCTGGTGAACTGTTTCTGAAAGGGCACAGACAGGAACCCCCTGTGGATCACGCTCCTCTCCAGAACGTGTGGGGCTGCCCCGTAGCGGGGAGCTGGTTTTATGAGGAGTTTGGACCACAGACCCTGGTTACGCTGCCTTTCACCTGCTGACCTTGCTCCTGTTTCCTGTGTGAGTGTCCCTACCTGTCAAATGCATACAAGGCAGTTTCCGCCAGGCACCAAGGCAAGATTACACGTGATGGTTGCAGAGGCTGCTGGTTGCTACCCCATCGGCTTCCGCTCATGGTGGCCCCACACACACGACACGAAACAATGCTGCGTGGCCTGCACCACCACCTCCATGACCTCAAGAATCGTCAAGTCCACTACTGGGTCCACCGTCCGACCCAGGGGCTCATCTTCTGGGATGCTCTGTGCTCTGGTGTGAGCCACAAGGTTGGCACTGACAGAAGTCGATCACCAGGCCTTTCTTCCTAGTCTCCTAGTCTGGAAGCCCCAGTGATGCTCTTTTGCCATGAGTGACCCTGCAAGTGTTTGAAATATTAGGGATGAAGCTGCCAGAATCTCTGAAATGTACAGACCACCACTGCAGGGCTAATGGACAGATGGGTGGTGACCCCATGGTGATGGACATGAGACTCTCCAGGGAGGAAGTTACACTTCTCTCTCCTCTCACCTTCCTTTGACCTTCCAAGCACTTGAGTGGGTGATCATAGCAAGCTGTGGCTCACACTGAGAAGAACGGGAATCCCAGAGCACTTAATGTGTTCGTAGGAAACCTGTATCGAGACCAGGAAGCTGTTGTCTGAACAGAGCGAGGGAACACTGCATGGTTTAAAATCAGGAAAGGTTTATGTGAGGGCTGTATCCTTCTCCATACACATTCAGTCTATATGCTGATCAAATCATTCTAGAAGCAGGACTCTATGAAGAAGAATGTGGCATCATGGTTGGAGGTAGACTCATCAATATATGCAGATGTCACAACCTTGTTTGCTGAAAGTAAGGAGGACTTGAGGCACTTGTGCAGAAGATCAAAGAATACAGCCTTCAAAATGAATTGCATCTCGACATCAAGAAGACAAAAATCATCCCCATTGGGTCAACATGCAACATCACAATAGATGGAGAAAAGATTGAAATTGCCAATGATTTTACGTTACTTGAATCCACAGTTAGTACCCATGGTACCATCAGTCAGGAGATCGGGAGCCCTATTGCGTTGGGCATGTCCACTGCCAGGGACCTCTCTAGAATACTGAGAAGCAGTGACATTAGTTTGAAGACTAATGTGTGCCTGATTCAGGCCATGGGCTTTTCAATCACGTTCTAGGCATCTGAGAGCTGGACAGTGAATAAGGATGCAGAAGAAGAATTGATGCCTTTGAGCTGCGGTGTTGGGGAAGAGCACTGAACCCATTCCATGGAGAGCCAGGAAAGCAACAGATGTGTCTTGGGAAAAGTGCAGCCAAGCTGTTCCTTTTAAGCAATGAGGACGACGCTTTGTCTCACATACTCTGGGCATGTTGTTGGGGGGCGGGGAGGCTATTTCTTGGAAAGAGACATCACGCTTGGAGAGGTGGAGGGTCAGCGGAAGAGAGGGGACCCTCACCCCAATAAATAGCTGCGACAGCAGCAGTGGGCTCACGTGTGAGATGATGAGGATGGCCCAGGACCGGACAGGAGTCAAGTCTGTTGTTTGTAGGGTCCTTAGCAATTGAACTCGAGGGCACTGACACCACCACCACCACCTTCCCTTCCTGTGTCGTGTCTCTGCTGCTGTCACAGCTCTTGGCTCTGTTATGCTGACTGCCCCCCTCTGGTAACCGGTGGATGGGTAGCCCGTTTGATCCCACCTTGTGGGCAAGTTTATCATCCCATATCGTCATATCATGCATCATGCAGCCCACTGCTGGTGAGTCAGCTCATCGCCGCCCTGCAGGACACAGCGGACCTGCCTCCTGGGGTCCCCACAGCCGCACTCAGTCATAAGCACTCTGCCATGGCTTTCTCTCAAGAAGCGGCTGGTGGGTTCGAACTGCCGACCTTTTCGTTAGAATCAAGCCCTTACCTACTGCGCTACCAGGGTTCCTCATCAGTCTCACGCAAACTCAGACTCAGTGCTGCTGGGTTGGAGCTGACCCCTACCTGATTCTCTACTGGGTTTCCAAGACTGTAAATCCCATGGGTGGAGATTGCTGCCTTTCAATTGGCGGACTGATGGAGCCTTTGCCCCACAGAACACCCTCATTGGCCATTAGAACCCTAAGTGAAAGCCTTTGCTGTTGAAATCTCTTCCAACTCACAGACCCTACGACAGAGCAGAATTGTCCCATCGAGTCCCCAAGGCTGTGACTCTTTTTTTTTTTACTAGTTTATTTAACAAAATTCTAATACAAATTCTAACAAATTCTTTCCATTTCTCTCACCCTCCCACCCAACAAATTGTACAATCCAGTGATTAATCCTCTCTTCCCTTTGTATATCCACATTCCTCTGCTTCCAGCCTCTCCCACCTCTCCTGGATCCTTATACTCATTCTACGATAACGGTCTTATACAATATCCTTGGGGGACTGAGCTAGTTCACTCAGCATAATGCTCTCCAGTCCCTCCCAAGTTAGGTAATAATTTACAGAGTTATTGTCCTGCATGCTGTGTAGTATTCCATTGTGTGAATGTACCATGATTTCTCAATCCATTCATTTGTGGTTGGACATTTGGGCTGTTTCCATGTTCTTGCGATGGTGAATAATGCTGCTATGAACATTGGTTTACAAGTCTCCATTTGTGCCTCAGTTCTCATATTCTCAGGGTATTTTCCAAGTAGTGGAATAGCTGGGTGATATGGAATTTCTATGTTCAGCCTTTTGAGGAAGCGCCAAACTGCCTTCTAGGATGGTTGCACCATTTTACAATCCCACTAACAATGTATAAGAGTTCCTTTCTCACCACATCCTCTCCAACATCTATTACTTGCCGCCCTGTTCAACTTTGCCACTCTTACTGGTACCTCACTGTGGTTTTGATTTGCACCTCTCTTATTAAGCCTGTGAGTCTTTAGAGAAGTTGACTGTGCCCTCTTTCTCCCAAACAGTAGCTGGTGGCTTTGAACTGTCAACCTTTAGGTCAGCCGCTTCTCAGCACATCATCCATCCCTCCCCTAGCACACTGGGGACAGCAGCACATGGAAGAATTGAACTCCTTTACTCAGAGATGGATTCGCACACACCCTCATTCAGTCTTTCCCGGTGTCTTTTTGTTTTGCAGCGCCGACATTAATTTGTGCATCTACAACCTTCACTTAAAGGACCTGCGGCATTTGGACTTGCAGCTGAGGCAGGAGAAGTACATGGTAGGTGGAGACGGTCCCCTCCGGCTCTGGTGACAGGCTGGGAGACAGGGCTGCCTGTGTGCACTGAGTCTGCTGAACTGGAACCAGCAAGGGGCGTTAGGCCTTGATGCAGGATGAGAGAGCTCTGCACCTGGTGAGGAGGGCACGGCTGTGGATTTATTGAATACCTGTGATTTGCTTGTTAAGTACCATCGAGTCAGAACCAACCCACAGCTCACCCTCCAACAGGTTTTCAGAGGCTGTAAATTGCACAGGAGGAGATCGCCCCTCTTTCTGTCATGGAGCAGCTGGTGGATTTGAACCATAACTTCAGGTTGACAACGCAGGTCCGTAATACTAGGCCACCAGAGCTCCTTTTGGATACACAAAACACACAAGAAAAATTGGAAGTTGATCAACACTTTAATTGAAATTGAAATTTAATTTAAAGAGCTTTAATGTCCTGATAATAAAGCATGTTCCTACTTTGGGCACGTAGCTGGGCAAGTTTACTCCTTGGAAGGGGTTGAAAAGATGGAGTGGAGGGTCAGTGAAGGAGAGGAAGACCTCCAACAAGATGGACTGACACAGTGACTTCAGCAATGGCCTCTAGTGTGTCAGAGATGTTGAGGATGACTCAGGATAGGACAGGGTTAAATTGGCTGATCATAGGGTTGCGAGATGCTATGAGTCTTATTTGACTCAAAGGCTCCTATTAGCAACAACACAGCATATCTAATACTGTGCCCCGGTATCGGCCTCTGACCGGGAAGCTCCGGTGACCTTCAGTGTCCAGGGTTTTCACTGAGGTTACATGGCATGGCTCCTTGACTCACTGGCCACATGACTGAACGCACTTCCAGCCCACATGTCTCCCCTGAGCTGATACCACACGGTAGGGCTCTCTGACCACACCGTAGGGCTCTCTGACCAAGCCAGTTCCCACTACACTCAGGCGGTCCAGACCCCTCTGTGAATAAAAAAAAGACACTCTAGTCAGCAGGGACATTCAAAGATACCTTCCAGGAACCTGGAAGGAAACACAAATGATTTGGGTAAGAATTTTTCATGGTGTCAGAATGGCTCAGTCCCAGCAAGACCTCACACTTGGTAAAGGTCAGTGAAAATAGAGGAGGACCCTCCACAAGGTGGATTGGCCATGATGTCAACTGTCACAGCAGGGGACAGGAGGCAGTGGGACCGGGCAGGGTTCATGCTGTTGTACAAGGGTCACTAGGAGTCAGACTCTGCCCACCTGGCACCTGACGACAACACAGGTGCCCGTAGACAAGCTCCTTTTCGAGTGGAGAATTGTTGTGGTTGTTATTAAGGGTAATCAAGTTAAGTAGGACTCATAGCAACCCTACGAACAACAGATCCGAGCTCTGTCCTGTCCTGCCTCCTCCTTGTACCTCCCTGACACTTCAGAGCCCATTGCCAGTCACCGTATCAGTCCATCTCATTGAGGGTCTTCTCTTTACTGACCCTGCACCTTTCCAAGCATGATGTCCCTTTCCAACGAAGAGCCTCTCTTAGCCACTGGAGAATTAGGATTCTTGAAATGAGGGTACAGCAAAAAGACCTTGGGCTCTATGAGCCGGCCCTGCCCCCTGAACTGTGCCAGGACCCTCCCAGAGTCCTTCAGCTAGACAGAGTCCCTGCACCCCCAGGGACCTCGCCCAGGGCTGCTGCTGTTGTTAGTTGCCATCAAGCACTGCCTGGGGCTGTCCATCTTCACAACTGTTGCTGCATCGGAGCCCATTGCTGCAGTCACTGTGTCCATGGAGCTCATTGAGAGCCTTCATCTTGCTAGTGACCCTCTGCTTCACCAAGCATGGTGATTGTTCTCAAATGGATGAATGAATAAGAAATCAAGCATTCTTTAGATAAACTGCATGAAAATGGAATCCATTAACAGATCATTATGCAATGGTCTATAATCCTGGGGTCATTTCCTAAAGCATAAAGCCTGTTTGCTGTGGATAGATGCATGGAGGTTGGGGGGGGG